AGAATTTTTCACGAAGTCCACGGACTGTGTAAAACACCAGTTCCAGAGGAGATACATCTAGTCCTAGCGATTGGCACTTAGTTGCTATTCCTCTCGCTCTTGCGATATAATCATTAGCTGACTCGTGCAACTTCATTTCTAAATTTTTTAACCCATTACCAGCATCTATTTTTCGATATTCGGCTTGTCCCGTAAATATTGACTTTATTTTTTCCCAAAGAATTTTTGCATTTCTCTTCTGTGGAGAACTGAAGCACCTGTTGATCCGATAGTGAAAGTTTTATATATGCTACGGCGTCAGCGTTTTTCTCATTCCACAATCTTTCATCTTTCTTGTTTAAGTTTTCTGGTTTTACTGTTGAAATTACCAAGTCAAGTCTTTTCAGTGATAAGGCAGCTTTAATTTTCAATGCCGAAATAAAATAGTTCTCTCCAGTTAATTCGGGAACGTTTCACTTCTCCATTTTTGGCTTCCACTAAGACAGTTTCGGTTTCGACTTCGTATCCAATTCTTCTTGAAAAAACAACAGAGCTGCTACCATTTGTTGTTCAGAGGCCAATATTTAGAGTGAAGAAGCCATTGTAGGACAGTTCACTTTATTTACATGAATAATGAATAGAAAGATCACACAGGAAATCATTTTGACCATCACACAGCATATAACATCTCACCATCTCCATACGCTCGAATGACGGATGTGACGGGAGAAGAGACAGCTGCACCGTAATAATTAATACGCATGTGCATAAGAAAAAAATTTTGCTCGCCTCTACCCTCAGCGAAACTGGGTGGGACGATACACAATGGGACTTTGCAAATCGAACACCAGTAACTCGATTCCTTCCTGATCTTACATTTTTAGCAATGCGAACACCTTCGCGTAGGTTTTTTTTTTTTTTTTTTTTTTTTTTTTTAATGTTCCGAGTACATAATTCAGAACATGATTCCCACCTAATTGGCTTAGGTCTAAATGGCTGAGTTTGTATCGATTTCTTTCTTTCAATTGGATACGTTGCAAAAGTGTCTTTAATAAATTTGAGCGAAAAGTTGATAAGCAGTAATGTTCCATTATTTTTTTATATAATATGAATGCATTCAGACACATAATGTCAAAGAAATGGAGAAATATATTTTTGTAGTACTTTTTGAGTCGTTTTCTTGTTTGTGGAATACGCTATGATAATTTCATTGCTCATATCCACTCCACCCATTTTTTTTATCATAATCAATCACTAACTCTGGTTTCTTTGTTATATTTTTCTTTTCTCTTTCTGTTACGTTGTCATTATGTACAGTACTTACTAATATTTTTCCATTTCATTACCATAATATACGCGTGACGAGTATACTCTAAATACACAAAATCGTGTCGCTTTTCCATAAATGCAAGGCAATTTTTGATTGTCTTCTTTGACACTAAGGAAATTCTAATTGATTGAGGGATTTCCCTATGATCAGACTGTTACCAAGCACTACTACATTGAAGTGCTAAAAAGTTGGGGAAAAAAAGGCTAGAATTATGGAGTGATGATGGTTGTTGCACCAGAACAATGTACCTGCTCACAAGTCCCTATCAGTTGAGCAAAAACATTACTGTGTTGGAGCATCCACTTTATTCACCAGATTTGGCTCCTTGCGACCTTTTTTTTTTTCAAATTTATTTCCTAGAGTTAAATCTTGTACAAAGCGAACCTGTTTTACCTCAGTTAAAGAAGTTCAAGTGGAACAGAGAATCATGTGAATTTCAGAGACGTCAGAAAATTTGTAATTCTCATTGTAACCGATGATACTTGCCATAAAATCTGCATAAAACTTCTGGTTTGAAAATAAATACATGACAAAATGAAAATTGAAAGATAAAAATCAACATAAAGTTGCTACTAAAATTTAAGTAAAATAACACTAGTCTTCTTTAAAAAATGTGAGATTGTTATAAGTGTAAATATAAAAGTCTGAAATAATTCATAATTTAACCCTTAGCGCTTTGTTGGCTCAGCTACGGGGCCATGCAGCATTTGTTCCGCAGCTCTGTAGGCTCTGCTGTGGAGCCAAATGTTTTTTTAGCATGATTATGCTTAAGATGCTGTGGTATTGTCGGTGTTGCCAATTGTTATCTGTAATTAAAACGTGCTCAGTCTCTATACTGGTATGATTAAACCATTTTTTGACCTTTTTTATGGTTAGCTACATGGAGAAATTTTGATGAGAATTTAGAGTTGAGTGGTAGTGAAGACATGTTTGATTTTCAAGTGTTAAAAGATATTGCGAAAGACAATGTTGATTATAATTCTGACACTTCATGTAGTGGTTCCGAAATTACACTACCAAAGAGATGACAAATGAGAATTATTAAAAGTGAAGATGAAGATTTGCAGGGAGACTTCGATGTGACACTTGCGCAAGTAAACCAAGGATGTGTTTCCGAAGATATCGCGCCATGGTGGATCACAAAATTTAAAATTTATCTTTCATTTGCAAGAAAAAAGTATATATGTATAAAATAAAGTTAAAAACATTCACAAGCATATGTAATTCTTCTCGCTTAAAATAAGACTCCATTTTACTCGTTCCACTGTGAAAATGTGCCAGAGTTGCTGGTAATCCGTGGTACAAAAATGTGGCAAGCGCTAAGGGTTAATAACCATTTAACTACTTGGTAAATTTTAGGAAGTTGATTTTATTCTCAAATTTGTTTTACAGTTATGTTAAATATTAGATTATGTTTAATAATAATGCATACTGCATACATTTCTGTTTTATTCTTAGAGTCGTATTATATTACAAGAATGAAGTTGATTGCTTAGATAATTACTCTAATTATTCAGTTCCCATTTACTGGGCCCTTAATTTTTTTTCCATTCATGGTCCTTAAAAGTACTTAATTCCCATATGCAGAAATGTGTACGAACTCCGTATGAAAGGCATTTTAGCATTATCCTATTGATTTCAGAACTTCTGGCTATGTCAAGCAGTATGTCACTTGGAATTGTCAAAAAACACTATTTCTTTGGCAAGTCCAGTCTCTTCTTCCTCACGGGTCTAAGCAAATGGGTTTCATTGAACATTCGTGTAATAATCACCTTTTTGCTTTGTGCCTATGGCTGTTGGGGTTGACATCTGCAGCTGTTGTGAATGGTCTTCCAGCATGTAATTTGTTGGTCACCCCATGTTACCATCTTTCAAGTTCAACAGAGATACTTCTGTTCACCATATGCCTGTCATAACAGCTCATCAGTGCTGAGTATTGTTCACTTGGAGGTATGGGTTCAGATCCTGGTGACTGATCAGGCAGGATATGTTTTTGTGTTTTTTATCTTTTTTAATACAGGCTAGTTTCCTTTAGACAGAGGATCCTAATATGCTTTGTTGTGATATAATGAATCTAAAATCAATGTTTAATATTTTAAGTGTTTCATACTACTGTTCCCGAAATTGAACTTGAACGACTTCAGAAATAAAGTTCAATTATATGTATGTTGAATTTTCAGAGATGTTTTCTCATCCAGTATCATAAAACATATTAGACAATATACAACTTATGACACAACTTATGATCACCAAGTATTTAAGGCTATAACGCTCCACAGATCGATTCAAATATATCAATATAACCAGAATCCCAGAACAATATCCCAGAATTTGCTACAAGATTGTGCTTTCTAATGTCAGAAATGAGAAATGGTTGCAGTGCTGGAACCTTTTCAGTTAGACCTCATACATTTGTTTCTGGTGGGTCAAGAGAGACTTCAAATTTTTGACCCACTTTAATAGTAGTAATATAAAGTAGCAAGAGGATATTAAGCAAGAGATAATAAATTGGCTCTGTAAAATGTGTTTAGAAAATTTTACTATTTTTTTCAGTGAATAAATAAATGATGAAAAAATAGGCAGCCTTTTTTTTAAAATTTACCTTCTATATCAGTGATCTTAAACTGGTGGCCCCTGAAGAAGTTTTATGTGTGGCTCGTTAAGATATTTCAGTTATGTATTTGTTCAAACACAGCATTGCAAAGATTTCGGTATTTTAATTATTTGAAGTTGGAGTTCATATTATTTACATTTCTATTAAAAACAAACATAAATAACGTGCCAGAAAATCTATAAATGAGCTAATTAATTTACATTGTGATATAAATCATATTCAAATATTTGAAGGTATGGATTTTATTAACTTTTATTCTTACATTTCAACATATTAATAAGCTCAGTTACGATTTTTGGCAGTAAAAATAATACATTTGTTTGGGAATACGTTTATATGCAAGCAGCTTTTTTTTTTCATATTTCAAAATTAGAAAAGAATCTAATTGACTGATGAGCATCTACAATCCATGAAAAGGTAATTTCTAGTAAATTTTTCTCAGAGGCTAAAAACTTTATTAGAATTAAAACATTATTAAATGTCAAGCTATTGTAGGAAATTAAGAAGTTTATAATTATTTACCCGAAAGCATATGTATTTTTATTTATGCATCGAAGAAAGTTTTTATAAATGAGGGAAAGAGACTAAGTTGCTATTATTTTAGTCTGAAGTTTTGTTTCACCAGGCAGATTTTTCTCTGAAACCTTAGAAAGGTTTCATAATTTGTTTATTTTTAGGTTAAATTAAAGAAATTTATTTAATGATTAATTAAACATGTCAAAATTATCAGTAAGAAATGTTAGTTTAAGAATGTAATATTTAGCTATCAGATATGAAGTATAACCAAAAAATTTTACAGGTACCAAACTTTAGATTTCAGATGAAAAATAAACATAAATTTGAATTTTTTCCTTTGCGACATTTTTATTGTTTATGTGTGTTTTGATAAATATTTAGTAAGCAAAATTAAAAATTTATTTACAATATTTTTAATTTTGTTAAAAAAAATCTGGCCCTTCAGTTGTATGGATTTGGCCCACATGTAGTTTGAGACTCTACTCTACATTATTAGATTCTTTTTTCTTCAAGCACAGTTTATTTATTTTTATGTTCTTATATTTGTTATGATGTTTACAGACTGCAAGATTCATCTGTACAGACAAGGTTTGAGGGATCTCGATTTTCAAAGTGTTCTTTAGAACGAGAACAAATGTTATCTCATCGAAAAGAAGAGCTTTTAAAAAAAGCAAGGAAGTAAGTGTATATATCATGTTTATTTCTAATTTTATATTAAATTTTAAATCCTATCTAATTATTTGCATGATGTCCTGAAATTGTAATACAAAGTGAATTTAAGGTAAGTAGAGAAAATTTCAAGTGGGCTTAAGATCTGACTCTTGCACATATGAAATTTAACTGAAAGAGAAACACACTAGTATAAAATTTAAATTAGGCAAAAGGGCAGCTTGAGATTGGGATAGGTTTTGAATAAAATTGTGTTGATTTCGAGGACAGTCAGACTGTTCTTTCTTTTCCAGAAAATTTTTTTCCCTACTAAAGTGGGAGGAGTATCGGACATTTATATAGAAATCAGTATTTGGAGCAAATTGAAAACAAACATAGCACAATATGTGACAAAATATAGCAGGCATGGTCAAACTGCGGCTCGCTCTCAGGTATCTTAACTGCAGTTTGCAAGCCACGAGACCCTTTGGTTCTTAAGTGCTACTCTCCTGCAGCAAATAGTAGTTTTATTAATATACAATAGCATTTTGTGACAGACATCATGTAGCAACATACTTCCTTATGAAATAATAGTGTAATTTTTTAAATTATGTTTGTATTTGACTTACTAATTTATTATTTTTTAATAAATTATATTATGCAGTAGTTTAATAGATTTCAAACTGTCTGGTGTTTGTAAATCATCAGGGGCAACAAATGAAAAAAAAAAAAAGGCTAATAATTTTGTATCTGTGAATTATTATAATTTCCATGCTATTTTTATGGCAGATAATGGCTGTCAGGACATCACAAAAGACAGATGCAAAGATCATTTAAAAAATAATATACTTCAAAATTTTTTCCCTTTCAAGTTTTCTTACTTTTTTATTTCAGCCAATCTGTCCTTATATAGCCCTTCCATATAGTATCTTATCTCATAAAATTTTTTGTTCCTTGCAGGCAACTTCTTCCTCCCAATCCTTGAATAGCTTAGGTAGTTTCTGAAGAAATTTCTTTCAGTGTGGAAAAATTCAGTTTGTGCTGGGGCATTTTCAAACTGGGGATGTATTTGAGGACTAGTGAACTCATGAGAAGATTTTATGACAGAGAGATAAGATTTCTTACTCCTATTTGGTTCACATTTTCTGTCAAAATCTGCACACGTACAGAATCAAATTACCATTAAGAAAGTGGTGTTTTTTTGTGCATTATTCTGCACAACGTTTGGAATTATTCATAATTGTTGTTTTGAATTTTTATTCTTTTAAGTGTCTTCAGAGTTATATGCAACAGTACATGTTTCCCTACCAAAGGAGTACAGTTGCACTAAGTTGAAAACATAAGATTTAATGGTTACTTTCCTTGAATTTAACATATAATGTCAGACTATGACAGGTTGGTAAAATCATATGATGAATAACAGATGAATGTACATGACTGATACAACATGAGTCTGCTTAACAGTTCATTTAGTCAAGCAGATACTTGGCTGTGTAGTAAATTATCCGGAATACTCTCCTAGATTCCTATTACAATCTAGTCTTCCACAGCTATATTTCATTGCAGGTTTCCATACCTTCAGAGTGCTACGCCACTCTGGAATAATTCACGGCTGTTGGGCACATTAATAAGACATATCAAAAGGACATGCATTTTTCACCACCATCTGGAGGATAACACAATTATCACCAAAACCAGGAGGACACACAGTCATCACCAAAACCAGGAGGACACACAGTCATCACCAAAACTGGAAGGGCACACAGCCGTTACCATACACACTCTCTTTCTTCATTCTTGTAATATAATTCTTGTAATTAACTTCATTCTTGTTGGAAGGTTGGAAGGATTATACTGTGGAATTATGTAGTTCACCTTTTCTGCTCAGCGCAGCCATAAAGGGAGGAATGCAAATTTCTCAACAATAATAAAACATTTTTATCATCTGCATCTCTTTGCAATGACCTCCTTGGTAATCTCGAGCAGATATTATAAATTATTTCATCTATAATTGTTTAAAATTTTTGGAGTTGCAGTGAAGATGGATTTTTTTCACTGAATTCATTGGATTCTTTCACATTTTGGACGGAATATATGATATATGAATTTATCATGTCTAATCGGCCCATGTGTTCTATTATTCAGTTACACATAGCTCTGGAAACTTTCAGAACTGCATAATGAACAATTTGGGAACAATTGAAAATTATAAGAGACTGTAGGATCTATTTTCATCTGAAGAACTTTGAACACACTTAAATTTTTTTTTTTTTTTTTTTTTTTTTTTAAATTACACATATTCTGTCAAAACTATCTAAAAATTTATAATATAGATTTAAAAAATCCCCTGATATTATATCAATTTATTTTGTCCAAAGCTTGGAAATGGAAATGAATATGCATATCACTGATTAAAATGTGTTGATAAAAATTTACGAGGCGTATGCTAGTAGCCTTAACTGCAGTTTTCATGACAAAGTTAATTGTCCATTCCAACTGCAGCACTAAGCATTTTTACCACTTTATGCATTATTTCTTAAACAGATGTACATACAATGGCAATACAATGTCTCAAATCTTGCCAGACATTACTACAAATACAGTTTTTAACATGCATTGTAAAAGAAAATAAAGATATGTTGAATTTTGAATTTTCTTGAAATTAAATCCTGATCCTGAAAATTTTTTGTGAGTAACAGGTATCTCAAAGAATTCTTTTAAATTAGACTAAGAAGAAAAAAAAGGAGGAAAACAAAGGGGGGGGGAAGACTTTTCATGGTATTCAAAGCTTTTAAATCAAAACTTGAAATGTGCTTTTTATGAACAATATTTAAAAATACATTTTTTAAAGCAGTCATGGCTGAATGGTTCAACTAGTAGACAAATGGAGTTGTTTGTGACACAGCATTTATGTACCATACGAGTTTTCACAAGCATAATACATTTTTATATAGTCAGCTATCTATATCCAGAATTATTGAGATGATACTACATATAAGTTTCAAGAATTCTCAAGGAAGTACAGCACACTGATTCTTTGAAAATTCTGGCAAACTTTGCTGGATGTCTTGCTGAAATATTGTTGACACTCAAGATTCTCATGAAAGGATTTTGTGATACAGATGCCTTGAAAGTGCAAGAAATGTGTTCTTTTAGCAAAAGTTTCTATAAAGTGCCAATAAAATTAATCTTTCTAAAATTTTATGTGAAAATATTCAGTGATTTCTTAGGTTAGGATTTGAAAGATTCTAATGATAATATAGTGCTAGTATTTGATTTTGGAAATTCAAATTGTTTTTTTGTTATATTCTCAGGATTTCAATATTCAAATGTTTACAAAAAACAAAATGCAACTGATGATCTATTTCATATTAAAAGAATTAAATCAATATTTGGTTTGATCTCTCTCATTATGTTGGTTTTTATGTTAACCTTTTAGCACTGACTGTTGCCCAGATGCACTGGCATGAAACCTGCTCTTTTCCTGGCTGGCATACCAGTGTGAGAGGGTGTTTCTTGTTCAACCCCCCCCCCACCCATCGCACTATTTGTGTCAAAGTGTTGGAATGATTTAGAATATTTTTTGAAAGATGGTATAAGATTTGAGATATGGATAGATTTGACCTTTTTGAAATGTGATGAATAAGTCATGTGTACTTGGGTTTTCATTATATCAACTTAAAATGAAAAGCATGCTGCTAGAGTGCCGGGTCTTTCTTTAAATGCACATGTGGTATTTATTGATGAATGTTATGAAACCTTTTTTGGGAGGGAAGCGCTAGAGCTTTGGGTATTTGGTTTTGCAGTCCAGCTTCTAATCGAGTATTATACCTTTTGTATGCAAAATGCTTCTTAGTTTAACAGTGTCGAAGTGTCAAAACTTTTTAGAAAATTATGTGATCTAAATCAGTTTATATCTGTAATTTTATCTTTTATACTGGAAAAGAAACAGAGTTCCACGAAATTCCAGGATTATACAGGGAAAGAGTTGTTGAATATTTACTTAACCCCTTTGTGGCACGGTATGTCAGGTCTGGGCACACCTAATAATATATCCCTCTGTACATACAGAAAAAATGAATAAAAAAGGATTTATAGGTTACTCTGATCCTTCTTTCTTTATACTAGATGGCAGCACAACACAAACCAGTCCATATATTTTAGCCATGTTTAGTTTTTAAAAGACCCTTATTTATCAAAGAAATCTTCCAGAATTTTTTAGACTATTAAAAGAATTGTTTGAAAGAAATTTCTGTGTTATTTTCTTGGCTGTATGCTAATCTCCTTATTCTATATTTTAAATTTTTACCTTGGAATCTTGCCTAAAATCAAACAGCAAACATCAGGTGTGACCACTGAAGTGCTAGGACCAGACCAACAACTGTATCTTTGTTTCACTGGAGCTCTCCGGGAAACTCATTTACAATAAAAAGGTGGGTCCACATCTGGGTTTCATTTCCCTTTTGGGGGGGGATTTTTATGGTTGTTGGGATGATTTTCTGAAGGTTGGGTAATTTTACCAGTAAGTTGTTTGATTTTTCTTCATTAGAGCAGTTCTCATTTTCTCTTTCGTTCAAAGACGTTTTGTTAGTGCTATGTTTTGAGTTGTAGATGTTTATATAATTTTATAGTTTACATTTTCTAATTGTAGATGTAATATTAGTTTATTTTTCAGATTTTTAATTATTTTGCAACTGGATTAAAGAAGGCTGACCATTTGTGAAGCGCTGAAAATGCTACACGAATTGCCTTCAGATACTGAATCTGCTATGGATCCTGGTACATGTGCAAAACATGCAGTGTTGGGTTGTGCTTTTTTAAAGATGGTGGCACTTTCTTTGAAAAGTACCACCATGGGGGGAATAGACAAATGTGTAAATATGAAATGCAAATACGAAGTTACTTTTTTTTTTCCATTTATATGCATGTAATCATCATATAACTAAGAAGAGCTTTTTTTGGGGGTGGATTGTTAAAGAGTAGCAGGCCTTCCTGTGCCACACTCTGGGTAATGCTAAATCTGCTACGGT